GTGTGTGTGTGTGTGTGTGTGTGTGTGTGTGTGTGTGTGTGTGTGTGTGTATTAAGCAGGAGTAACCCCGAGCCTCACACATGCTAAGCACACCTTCTAGCGTGCTAATGTGTATATTCTAATGCGTCTGGCTCAGAAACTGTATTTTTGTTATACATGTCTAAGGCATACAGCATGATGTTTTGTTATACACATATAAAATGAAATAGTTACTGTAGCCACATTAACACCTCCTTACACCGTTACCTCTTGTATGCGGGGGCTAATAAGATATTTAAATACTATATTCAGCAAATACTGTAGCTGTAGTTTATAGTAAAAAAAAAAAAAAAAAAAATCCACTCTTGTCCACTAGAGGTCAGCAAATTCATGTCGATTGCCTTGGCTTTTTCTTTTTTTCTTTTTTTTTTTTTTTTTTTTTTTTTGGCTCATTTTCTCAAGCTTCAGGTTCTAAATCAGATTTCCCTCATTAAGCCAGACACAGTGATACTCACCCAAGGCTTGCATAGTAAAAATCTGTCACCCATCTTCCAGAATGTTTGGTTGGTTTTGTTTTGTTTTTGAGGCAATGTCTCACTATGTAGCTGTAGCTGTCCTGGAACTCACTATATAGACCAGGCAGGCTGGCCTAGAACTCACAGAGATCCTCTTGCCTCTGCTTCCTGAGTGCTGGTATCAAAGATATGTACCACCAACCGGGCCTCAGAATGTTTTTGAAAGGCAAAAGGTTACAATACTCCTAAAAAGTAAAACCATGCTTAAATGCATTGTTTAGGGGCTGAAGCTAACATGGCCATGCTGTTCTGTTCAGTTCAAACCCCATCTCAGAACCAGAGTCATTTTCAGTGTAAATTTTGGCCGTGGCAAAGCCACCTGAAGCCTTATCACACATTCCATGGTTCTCCCTGGAAGCCGGAACTGGACCCTGCATCTCCACCTAGCCTTTGTTGTGGGGTTTGTGCCAGTAATCTCAGCACCTGGGTGGTGGAGGCAGGAATATCAGAAGTTCAGGGTTGCTCACATGAGACATTGTGTAAAAGAGTGGTGGGGGAGAGAAGAAGAGGAAGGAAGGAAGGAAGGAAGGAAGGAAGGAAGGAAGGAAGGAAGGAAGGAAGGAAAGGAGGAAGGAAGACAGGCATGCAAGAAACCCGAAATTCCCCTTGTAGCTCAGGGGCTCATATTGATTAGTCCTTATTTTAAGTCCAATGCAGTATGACTTTTCAAAGAACTACGGTCTGGAGAGCTGGCTCAGCAGTTGAGAGCCCTTGTTGCTCTGCAGAGGGCCTGTGTTCAGTTCCCAGCACACACGTGGTCGCTCATGATCATTGTACCACAGTTCAGAGGATTCACTGATTTTTTTGGTTCTTGTCTTTTGTTTCTCTGATCTCTGTGGGCCTGAGGCGCACCTTTGGTGCACAAATACACATTCATACACAACAAAACATTCACACACACAAAATAAATCTAAAAAAAAAAAAAAAAAGTAAGTAGAAAGGGTTAATTTATTTTAAATTACCTTATTTGTATGAGTGTTTTGCCTGCATGTATGACTGTGTACCACATGTGTGCCCCGTGCGAGGAGGCCAGAAGAAAAACTTTGGATCCCCTGGAACTCATGCAGGCTTGCCTTGAACTCCCTATGACCTGAGTCACCACTCGGCTCAGAGCAAGTCTTGATGAGAGGAGTCCATGTCTGCCCATTTCCAGGGGATCATTGAAAAAGCACTGACTGAGATCATTGTGGAGTCTGTGAAGGGGGGAAGGCCTCCCTGGGGTGGGCCTCCGTCCTTCTCCCTCCAGCCTCAAGGGGGTGGCCCACATTCCAGCGTAGCCACGCACTGAGAAGCAGGGAGGTCGCAGCGGAGCGGCTGGTAGTGCGTGGCTGCCTGTGGGATCCCAGTGTCTGATCTGTCTGAAGGACTCTTCGTGACAACAACCATCTAACTGTTCCCTTCAGGCCTGGAAAACCGCTGGACAGGAATCTCAGGTGCAGCAGAACGTCTGCTGGGAGGTCACAGCCCAGGATGGGTCCCCAGCCAGCCTGGAGGGGCCAGCTCAGGCGTCAGGTTAACTTTTATTACTGCTAAAATCTGTAGGCTCAGGGACTCAGATTTGAGCAGAACAGGAAAAGAAAGGAGAAAGGGCTTTAGTTCCTTTCTTCTTCTTTTTTTCTTTTTCTTTTTAAACAAGGTCTCAATACGTAGTCCTGGTCCTAGTTTGGAACTTGCTATCTGGACCAGGCTAGCCTGGAACTCAAAGATCTGTTTCCCTTTGCCCCCTGAATGCTGGGATTAAAGACATGCACCACCATGTCCAATGTCCAGCTTTAGTTTTTTGTTTTTGTTTTTTTTTTTTTTACAACTGGCTTTTTTTTTTTTTTTTTTTTTTTTTTTTAGTGAATTAAGATAAATACATCAGACTGTGCTGTGTTTTGCAAGTTTAAAGCGTTATTGTATGATTTTGTTTCTGTTTTGCATATGGCCTTTATAAACATATGCTGTAGATACAAAAGATTAAGGTATAAGATGCCTGCAGTGGTGTCCACCTTTAATCCCAACACTCAGTGGCAGAGGCAAGTGGATCTCTATGAGTTCCAGGCCAGGTGAGGCTACACAGTGAGACCCTGTCTCAAACAAACAAACAAACAAACAAAGGGACTGGGATGGAGCGAGAGCTCAGTCGAGTCCTTGCTAGTACACATAAGAGCACTGGTTTCAATTCTCAGGACCACATTAACCCCAGTGTGTGCGTGATTGTGTGTGTGAAGAAAAAGCCTGGGATGACCTCCTACCCTGTCTTTGCATTTTAGTTTTCTGTTATCGTGTGCATAGAATAGTGCTTTCTGGAAGATGGGAGTGTAGGTCATTGGTACAGCATTATCTTTGGTGGCTCTGGGTTAACACTCGGTATCACAAAAAGTAATATAGAAATAAAGCAGAATTCCCTGGCCAGGGAGAAAAGAAAGAGATATGGGGATGTAGCTCAAATGTAAGGTACTTGACCAGTATGTAAAACCTGGGTTCAGTTTCCAGGATTGCAGATAACAAAGCAGGCGTGGTGGCATACACCTTCAGCCCCAGCCCTCAGGAGGCAGAGACACGCACATTCCTGAGCTCAAGAAGAGGTTTTATGAATGGGATGATGGGACTGTGGGTACCAGTAAAGTTGATCCTGCTTTTCATACTTGGCAGTGTTGCTCTCTCTGTCTTAGAACATTTTTTTTTTTTTTCGAGACAGAGTCGGGTCTTTTTTGTTTGTTTGTTTGGTTGTTTCAGCAAATCCTACTGTCGTGCCACACACACACACACACACACACACACAACTGTCTGTGGAACACATTCTCGTCTGTTTGAGAGTCTTGCTACGTATCCCGGGCTGGCCTTGAACTCAGTCTGCTTGCCTCCATTCCCTGAGTGCCGGGATTACAGCATGTGCCACCCCGCCTGCCCCTAGAACGGACTCTCACCTCATGCTGTTCTACTTCATCCTGACAAGAACCCCAAGAACCCCAACCCGTAAGAACGACTTCACCTACCTCCTCGTTGACCATTGACCCCTAGGAGTAGCCAGTCTGTGGCAAAGAAAGAAAATGGTGTGAGTGACTCCAGCTTTCTCCACCATAACACATTTTTTGGGGTGAACCAGAATACAATGGAAATTGGCATGTTACCTCTGTGATTTGTCCCTATATATTTTGACACAAGACCACCTAGGCTGTGCACAAAACTAACCAAGAGTTAGGAACCACCCCAGAAAGACAAGTTCTTTCAAACAAAGCCCACTCTTGCTCTGCCCCGGCTCAGGTTCCTCTCCTGCCCTCATTCCCAGCTAGGAAGGGCCATGATCCACAGAGGAAGCCAGAACCCTCTCTAGCGTGAGCTGCCCAGGCCCACAGCTGTACCATGGCAAGCAGGAGAGCGGAGTTGTTGGGCTGCATTTGGCAGGGGGAGAGGGAATACCGTAGCATTTCTTCGAAGTCCAAGGTTGCTTTCTATGACCAATCTTTGCGCTGGATTCTATGCCTCCTGTGAGGATTGCTCTTCTTTTGTGCATAAGGGGCAGCCCTGGCTCCCCTCAAATATGTAAATATACTTATGTGTCTGTCCAAGCAAGTGTCAGGTGATAAGCATGGTCTTGCCACTTTCCCCTCAAGGGTTTTAAGGTGGTCCAGCATCCTAATAGGTGGGCTCTGTATGTGGGTATGACTTCTTGTTCCTTTGGTATATGCTGAGTTATACAGCTCTAGGCAACTCTCTTTCAGGGGTTAGCAAGCACTTGTATTTTAATTCCACATTAGCTTAAGTACCCCATGCCTAAGGTCACCTCTCACCCACATTTTGCACTTTTGCCTTTGACACAAGCGTCTATCTTACCACATCCCCTCTGCCTCAGTCCCCTTGCCATCTAACCCACAGCCCCGTGCACATGCAGAACTAAGAAACTGATGTGTTAGGGAGAAAGGATTCAAGGCAGAGACTCACCCGAGGGGATGCTGAGTGCCATGACAAACAGCAGCAACTTGGGCCCAAAGAACAGCATATCTAAGAGGGGTAGGGTGGGGGCGGGGAGGAAGAGCAGAGACCATGAAGCTGAGAGGCAGCAGCGCCTCCCCTCTAGGGAAAGATGTCTTGCATGCCCTCTCTCTCTGCCACCCGGGAAACCTTCTTGTTTTCTCGTTACAGCTCGAAGCCTTTCGTATCTTTCACCCAGCATTCATTTCCGTCAGATCTATTTAGTCACTCTTATTCTCCCTACCATTACTCTCCTAGAGAGAAGGTTTCTTAATGTGAGTCTCCTGATATTGTCCAGGCTGGTCTTGAACTCCTGTACTCAAGCCACCACCCCCCCTTCCTTTTCAACCCACTGAGCAGCTGGGAACACACGCATGTAAAGAGGAGGACTCTTTTGTATTCTCACTAAACCATGCTTGGCTCTGCTCCGTAGCCTCCTTCACTCCTAATAGCTCAGCTTCCTTTTGTGTGTCTGCGTATTTTAAAATATCCTCTGCCATCTTGGTGCACCCTCTCGTAACTGGGAGGGGGCTCTATTCTGTCGTGGACATTCTCCACTCTTTAGTGCACACACGCAGGCACACACACAGACTCTATAGTTTTGTAAATTACTCACTGTCCACAGTGTCCTGCTCTGTCCACCGTGTCCTCTGGCTGCTGAATGTGTCTGTCCTTCTCACGATTCTCCGCTGTTCCACTTGGGCTGGGGAAATAAGATGAACGCAGCCACACCCTTGGAAAGACTTCAGATTTGGCCTATTCTGAAACAATGAGACGAGGGAGAGCAAGGAGGGAGAGAGAGAGAGAGAGAGAGAGAGAGAGAGAGAGAGAACGCGCCAGGCCAGAGGCGTAGAAAGCAGTGTTACAATGAGGTTGGAATGAGAAGGGAGATGGGAATTTTTAGTCTCTCACACCCTCATTCCAAAGATTATGACCACACTGGAGAGGGAGCTCACTGCTCCCTGGAAGGGCTGGCCCAAGCCCACGTCTGCCCTTCCTTCCATCAGCCACATTCACTCACTATTTGGCCCAGCTTGCCTTTCTTGCCTGGGTTCCTGTTATCTCCCACCCTGGGCATTCGATCTCCTGACTCGCACCAAACTCTTGTGTCTAGCTCTCTGGCTTTCTTCTGTGCTTGAATCTCTCCTCTCCTATCTTTTTAAATCTCCCCTCTTCCTCATCTCTGTCCTCTCCTCTGTCTGAGTCAGGGTTGCCCAGGTTGGCAACCAAAGGCTGACTGCAAACTTCCTACACTTCCTGTTTAAGGCAGGATGTGCTGAATTTCTGTCGCTCCTGCCTCCGACTCCAGGCGGGTGCCACCTTGCCTAGTTTGTAACGTGCAGGGGGTCAAACCCAGGGCCTCATGCCTGCTATAGGAGCATCCCACTGAGATACGTTCCCAGCCCCTGTCTTCCTGGCTGGCCTGGAACTTGTTATGTAGGACAGGCCAGCCTCCAACTTGAGGTTATCCTCCTACCTGAGCCTTCCAAGTTCGAGGATTACAGGCAGGCACTATGATGTCTGGTCTTTGTTTGTTTTTATACAGGACATATTTTACAAGCTTCTCCTAATGCAGCCTCGTGTTACAAAGATTAAGAATCTTCCTTTTCATGTTTGAATCATCCTTACACTAAACATCTTTTGGGGAAAAAACAAACAAACAAACAAACAAAAAAAAAACAACTTTTATTTGGATAACAGCAATGAGAAGACAAGTGAAACAAAACTTCCTCTTGTACCCGTGGAGTGGAGGACCTACTACACTTTTCTTTTTAAACACCTCTAAAGACAGCAGGGTGGTGCACACCAGGAGGCAGACGTAGGTGAATTGCTGAGTTCGAGGCCAGCCTGGTCTACAGAAGAGTTCCAGGACAGCCAAGGCTACACAGATAAGCCCTGCCTTGGAAACAAACAAACAAACAAAAGAAAACAAAACAAATAAAGGCCTCTGATGAAGGAGGCAGAGGCAGGAGGATATCTACGAATCTGTGTAGGGAGCTCCAGGATAGTCAAGACTACGTAAAGAGGCCCTAATCTAAAAACCTCAAAACAAACAAACAAACAAACAAACAAACAAACACCTCTGAAGACCAAAAGCAACTTAAAATCTCATTAAGATAAATAAAAGCCATTGCTTACTGAACTACTGTCTTTGGCGCCATTCTCTCATTTCTTGTCTTGACGGGGGCTCTCTCTGTCTCTGCCAGTCTCTTGCTCTTTTCCTTGGTGACATCACCACATCTTAAACACCTTCCCGATACAACCTTCCCCCTCCCCTCTTTTTTTTTTTTTTTCAGCAGCCCCAACATAGGCAGGCTGGTTTCCTTTTCTGTTTCCTTGAACTCTTTCACCATTTGACTTCCATTGGTTCAGGGGTTCTTGCTGTTTTCCTACGGGTTTTGTTTGTCTTGCTTCTTTCCCACACGTCCTTTTCCCTCTTTGGTCCCCTGGCAGAGCCAACCCTTTCCATTTTGCCGTGCGCGGCTGGGCATCTAAGTCATGTGAAAACTACAAGTAAGCGCCACATCTTTCCCTTCAGGAGATCTGGTCGTGGCACTTACTGGCTGTGTCTTCCTTAGTGGTCTAGTTCGGCTTCCGATTTGCTTTCTTTCCCCAAGGAGTTTTATCAGGTTTATGTCTTTGTACTTCTGGCCAGGGGTCTCTACAAAGTTCTCTGCAGACTGGATACCATCAGACCCAGCGATTTTTTATTATATTTTAGAGACAGGATGTTTCTATGTAACCCTGGGTGTCCTGGAATTCTCTATGTAGACCAGACTGTCTTTGGACTCATGGAGATCCTCTAAGTTGTGGGTCTAAAGGCGTGCACCCCAATGATAGCAGAGCAAATGACGATGTGTTAAATGCTCTGTGCAAACCTCTCAGCTGAATGTTTGGTATTTGACCTTTATCACCTAGCCATTCTTTTATGTCATCAAGGGCTGCCTTTAACGTAAATATGGCTACGTCGTTTTTATACTTATCAGTCACTTCAGGGAGGGCTCTGCTTGGAGATCTTCTGATTTCAGTGGTTTGCGCTGACTTCTGTGAGTTTTGCCTTAGATTTGCCCAGTGCTGTGCGATTAAAGTCTTTGTCAGATCATATATGGTCTCACCTGTTAATTTTATCATCCTTTTCGACTTGATACATTCTTTTAAAACTTCATGCCCTGACAAACTGAAGTCTCCAAAATAAGACTCAGTTTGACCTCAAAGCAGTCATTTTTCCATTATCTCAATTTTTAGCCTTTGTGGCTGTCTGTAAAATGTCTCACAAAGATCCGGATTCCACAGACCTCAGCTTCACACACACACACGTAAGAGCCTGCCCTAAGCCAATGTTTATTTGCTTGTTTTTTTCTTTTAGTTTTTCGAGACTCGGTTTCTCTCCGTAGCCCGGGCTATCCTGGAACGCACTCTATATAGAGCAGGCTGGCCTCAAACTCAGAGATCTGCCTGCCTCTGCTTCCAGAGCTCTGGGATTATAGGCATGTGCCACCACCACCCAGCTGTTTGTTTCACGCCAGGTGGTGCTGATACACACCTTTAGTCCTAGCAGCTGGGAGGCCGAGGCAGGCTGATCTCTGTGAGTTCAAGGCCAGCCTAGTCTACAAAGCCGGTATCAGGACAGCTAGAGCTGTTACACAGAGAAAACCTGTCTCTGAAATAAAACAAAAACAAACAGAAAAGATAGGTTGTTATTATGTAGACCTGGCTGGCTAGGAACTTGTCACCCGCCTCAGCTTTCCCAAACGCTGGGATTAAAGGACTGTGCCACCATACCCAACTCCAATGTCCAGTCTTGCCACTTTCTTGACTTTTTCCCATTGAAATATCTCTTCATTCTCACATCCAAGAATAAAGATATCACTTGAGTTCTGCCTAAGAGAAAGGCTGGGTTCTTTGGGTTATAAAAAAATTGAGGCATGTACAAGTTCCATATCCTTTTCAAATATGGAGGAGCTCTATGAGAGAAAGCAGGAGCCAATTCTGTCTTTGGCTTTGTGGTTTTTGTTATTGTTTGTTTTGAGACAGGGTCTCACTATTGTAACTCTGCTAGCCTGAAACTCAATATGTAGACCAGGCTGGCCTCGAACTCACAGAGATCTGTTGACAGAGATTTGTTGACAGCTTATGCTGTGAATCTTGGATTTTGGAATGTCAATGACAAAACATCATAGGAAGCCCTCCAAAACTGACAGGCAAGCTCAGGTTTCTTGACTTATTTTCTATTCATGTTCCCCACCCCCCTGGTCATGTAATATACAGACAGCTCTCTCTGATCATTTGAATGCATTTATATTTGCTCCCTGTGCTGGCTGCTTTTATGTCAGCTTGACACAAGCTAGAGTCATGTGAGAAGGGGGGACTCTCGACTGAAAAAATACCCCCACTAGATCCACCTGCAGCAAGTCTACAGTGTATTTTCTTAATTAGTGATTGACGTGGGAGGCTCCAGCCTGTGGAGGATAGTGCCACCCCTGGGCTGGGGCTCCTGGGTACTGTAAGACAGCAGGTCGGGCAAGCCAGTAAGCAGCGTCCCTCTACGGCTTCTGCATGGGATTCTGTATCAGCTCTTGTCTCCAGGTTCCTCCCTTTCGAGTTGTTGTCCTGTCTTCCTTCAATGTTGAACTATTTATTACCTGAAATGTAACCTGAAAAAAAAAAAAAAAAAAAAAACAAAAAAAAAAACACCAAAAAAAACTTTCCTCTCCCAGTTGCTTCTGGCTATTGTGTTTCATCACAGGAATAGAAACCCTGACTAAAGGCTGGAGAGATGGCTTAGAGGTTAAGAGCACTCTGCTGCTCTCTCAGAGGTCCTGAGTTCAATTTCCAGTATCCACATGGCTCACAACCATCTAAGATGAGATCTGGTGCCATCTTCTGGGGTGCAGGTGTACAGGTAGATAGAGCGTTGTATACATAATAAATCTTTTTAAAAAATTTAAAGAAAGAAGAAAAAAAAAAAGAAACCCTGACTAAGACACTCCCTGTCATAAAGAAAGTGTTTATGGAACTAAAGCACACCAACTTTGGATAAATTTGATTTTTAAGAAAATTAAACCTAAGAAAGATGTGCACTGGCAGTTTATCTGTGTATACCTTATATTGTGGACTCTTTTGATAAGCTGAATTAGAGATGAGTTCAGGGAGTAGACAGATTAATGGACAGACAGGCAGAAGAAAGAAAAAGTGATGGATGGGAGGGAAGGAGACTGGGTGAGTCAGCCTCGTTGGGAGAAAAGGAAACAATGGAAATAATCAGAAGAAAATGTTGATTGCCTCATAAACCCATTTCAAGCCTCCAAGGGAGCTAAAGTACCACCCAGATTTAGTGCCTTGGGTAAACCTGACCACCAAACCCAGCTCCTGCTGGTTGCCCAGTCTGGAGTTCTTGTTTGCTACCCTGTCAATGGCAAAGGCTGGACAACAGATTTTATTTTACTCTGCGGGAAGGCAGGAAAGGAAAAGGTGGGGGTGAGAAAGAAGCAAGGGCAGACACGAAGCAGAACTTGGGCAAGGCAGCGAGCCGAGCCTAGTGCAGCAATCCTGTTTTCCCTCAGACAGACGAGAAAACTGAACCCAAGCCAATCATCTGGCAGAGACGTTGATGACCTCAATATGCTGACCTACCCAGAGGCTATGGCTGAGGAAAGCCTCCCCAGACAGTAGGAGGGGGTGCCGTCCCCAGGTCCCTGAAGAAAGTCTGATGCTGGGGCAGTGAAAACAAGAACAAAATGTTCAGAGGAGGCTGCGGGAG